CTGTCTTCATCCCGAGAACGTACAGGGGGTGGATCATAATTGAACACACTTTCATTTTCCAGGACTAATTTAATGGTTTGGTACCTTGGGCAGAAGAGGAGTGAGGGATTTAGAATTGGACGAGAACAGTGTAATGCATTGAGCTACCACGGGATTTATCTACTCTTAACTGTGCAAAGAGATGTGGTTTGGTTGCATTCCCCCACCCACATGCTACTGCCAACTGGTAGATTCCTTGACTGTGATAGAGCTGGTTTTCTACATTTTTCAAGGTAAACGTGTAGATTCTGCCTTTCAACTATTAAAGTGGATGAGATTTTTGTGACTAGGTCATTGTGGAGTGTTATTTTGGTTTTTGTTAAACATAGCGCTTGTATTCTTGCTCTCTCCCTCCTTTCTCTCAAAACCTCAGTTGTTTCCGTAAGCTTACTTTACTGTGTGAAAACCAATGGAGGCGTTCTGCAAATTCTCAGCTGTTAAACTGCATATGGTTTTTCCAGAATGGGATATAGGTGCCTGGATTCACAGGCTGCAGATTTAGTAGTGGGGGACGGAGGGGTTGCAAGAGGCCTCTATTTCACATGCCTTTTCTCTCCTCCTGTTTTGTAAGTCATATATTTGTACATTATATACAGGAGATCATATCGAAAACCTGTGCCTGACACAAAAGTAATTTTGCTTTTGGAGAGGTAACTTGTGCTGCCATTTAGCTCAGCACTAAGTGCTCTTACTCAGTGTAGAAACACTTTCTGGAGATTTTCAGGGTACTGCCATTCTTAAACATACTGATAGAGAGAAAGTAGCATCTCTTACAGTCAGATCGACCATTGAGTAGAATCAAGCTTATGAGACTTACCAAATGCTGTGTATGTTTATATTATTACAAGTGAAACTTTCTGATATCTTTTAATTGTACTGGGGAAAAAAATACATTATGTTTCTGCTCTATTTCAGTCTGAAGATAAATAATGCAATGAGTAGAGTGTGCTTGGTTATAGTGTGGGACAAGTTTTATACAGAAACAAATAATTATCTTTTAGGGAGAAGTACAGTACTTTTTAACAGTACCGTAGAAATGTAATATTTACTCAGCAGCTTAAGTAGTCAATTTTTATAAAATATGCATGGGCTTATTAGTGTTTTATTTTGAAGTACAAAAATTTCCATGCTTCACTTAATATTTATAATTTTAAACTGAAATAGTCCTAAGTTTGTCACTAGGTAACTACTGCTGGCCTGTAAACTTGCATTAGTCCTCTTCAATGGGAACTTTATAACTGGTATTCTAAAAATGCTCTTGCAGAAGTTTAACTCAAACCAGCACGTCCATTTACTTATGATAATTTGTATCATAAAATTTTCATTGTTGCATTTATTCTAATCGGTAATTAGTATCATTCATATCCAGGATATTTGCAAGAAGAGCAGATGAATTTAGCTCACGTAAAATTCTCACGAAGAGTACTCCTGGTGACCGTTAGTGTTTATGGGCAGTCTCTTCAGTACTGCCAGTTACTGCGTAGCTGGAGTTTGGTGCAGGAAATTTGATGTATGTAACTTTACCTGATCCTGTTGCTGATGAGGTGATGGAGCACAGGTGTGCCCGTGCGGGGCAAGCCACTCTCTGGGTGCGTGCAGGGCGTTCGCGGCGCCCAGCTTTTCTCCCCTTGGCTGGGGAGCTGCTGGGCACCGCGCTGGGCTGTGGTGAGGGACAGGGACAGGGAACGGCCAGGTCAGAGTCCTTGTCACAGCTCCCTTTCTCAGTGCGTGCATGTCCTCTTCTAGAGGATGTGTACTCAATATTTCAAGCATTTATAAGATCTTTGGATGAAATATGTGGAAAGATAAATTATTTTCATAAAGGATAAAGGAGGGAACTTGGCATTTTAAAATCACATGCTTTAATCTGCCACATGAATGCATAACTGTGTTGTTTTCTTCCTCCTCATTTATTCTTCCTGTACTTTTGCCTTGTTGTAACGTAGGTGCTGTTCTTGGGGAGTGTATTAAATTTAATGAAGCTTCTCATTTGACAGGAAGTATTTACATACATTTGCAGGCAGAAGATCAGCCCTTTATACTATGAGGTTTTCACTGAGAAAAATGCCTTCTCTCAGTATTTCTATCTTGCACTAACATGGTATACTCTTGGTAGTAAAACAGGATATAAACATCCAATGTGATACTGATTGTTCAGGCAGGTCACAGAGGTCTAGTCATGATCTTATTCTTCGATAAGCTGCCCTGTAACCTATACAAGTCTTTCTCCCTTCATTTCCAGCCTGAACAAGAAATATGCAAAAGCTGCCTGTCAGCCCTCTTCAGCAACTATTACTTTGATTAATTTGCAGAAAATGCTTTGAAAAGTCAAGTTACCCTTTACCTTTTGAGGAGGTGATCTGGCACCGTTAAAAGGCAGTTGAGCAGCGAATGGTGATGTGGATGTCAAGAAACTGTTGGCGTTTGTCCAACCCTGTTTGTTAGATTTCAGGATTGATTATCCAAGACTTCCTTATGTGATGTCAGTTGTCACAATCTGTGTTAAATTGCAATAAATTAATTTCAAAAGCAGCCCCTGATGAGCCATGAGCCTTTCACCTGGGGTAACAGGAGGTGAAAATAGGAAGCCATTCAACGTTTGTTCTAGGCTGACTACAAGAAGATTTCTCCTGTGACTTTGTTTGCAAGCAGAGAGCTGGGGAGGGAGGGCAGGTACAGGACAGTGATATGGTCCCTTTCCTTACTTAATACAGATGGGAACACAAACACAGTAAGAATTACCTTTGCAAGGGTTTTGTGCTGGTTTTGACTCCAGAAGTTTCAAAAAAGATGACAAAGTGGCAAGAGCGAGCTCTACACCAGCAGGAAGCGTCCTTAATAAATCAAAGAACAAATAGTTCTCAGACATAGATAATTATGGTTATGGAAGGTAACCATGGATGATAGCAAATATACAACCATTTTTCACAGTGTCTCTAGGCAATTAGGAAGATATTTTGTCAATGGTGATAAGAGGAGGGGAGAGGGCAGAATCCTCCTTAAAATTTTAACATACTGTGTTGCAGAGCATCAGGAGGAACTAACAGTGTTTTCTGTGTGGGTTTTATTACTTGGCAGGATCTGCTATGACTAAATCTCAAAAGACTGCTTTTTTTTAAAAGTTGCATTTATTTATATATAATACAGTTTGTTAGCCAAAAAAACAACCCCACCTTATCAAACCATGTATGGTCTTTATTTGTAAAATGTTTCTAACTGCTTGCTAAACATTACTGGAAGACTGTGTAGCTGTGAAGGCAGTCGCTTACTTGTCAGAGCTCAGAGTTCCCATGTTAATCACAACAAGCATGTGCAGAAAAGAGCTGACCCAGACTCCACCAGTGATCCTCTTCAGTCAGGATAACATCTGCACTCCATTTTCTTCCTTTATATAATTATATCTGTTGATGTTTTCTTAATATTTAGTGTGCAGTGAGGAGTGTTCTTGTGAAATTATGAATTAAATATGTTCTTTTAGGAGGAAGAAAGCCAAGTGGCTAATGCAACAACCTAACTTATTTAATATCTCTAGTTAACAAAACACTTGCCTAAAGCAAAGCAAAAGCACCTCACAGGAGCTCTTCTTTCAGTGGGAATTTATTTGAATTATTTATTCAATTTTTAAAAAATGTTTTGCACCTTTACAATTGGGTTGGACAAAAGTCATGGATGAAAGTCAGCACCAGATAATTTTTGCTTAAGTTGTTAAATTTGAAAACAAATGACGAACAAACCAAAACAAATAAATGACTCTATTTTATGAAATTGAAATGTAATGGGAACCAGACTCGTATCCAACAAGCCTCCAGATACAGTCCATGCTTGCTTTGAAACTGTAATCACTGTCTGGCTATGTGTGCGGGACGCACAGGAGCATGTCTGGCGTGTGAGATAATGGGTTTGGATTTGCAACGCGGCACAGCTCGGCCTCGCAGCCAGAGCTCTCCCCTCTGCTCAGGCCCACCTCGTCCCTCCCTGCCCGAGCTCGGTGCTTGAACTGGTGGCATAGATTTTGTGAAGTCTGTGGGGGTTTTGCGGGGCTTGAGGGGAGGGTGGGTTTTGGGGGGAGGTGTGGAACAGCAATGTTGTCCAGCTATAAGACTGTTTCTAATCAGTTTTTTGTAATCAGTCAGGAAAATGTAAGCATTAGATATGTTTGGGTTTTAATTAGTTTGCTTTCTGGAAATCCTTTGCTTGTTAGTCTGTGAAAACTTACAGCTGTCAACTAAAATTTGGGCGAGAATTCTCTGTAATCATTTCTGAAGCGATTCTTCTGAGGATGCCCAAACTTAGATTTAAACTCCTAAAATGGGATTGTCCCGAAGGTGAGAGTGTTGACCACTGGGTGAAATGGAATAGGACAGGCCGAGCTCCCCAGCTCTGGTGAAGCAGGACAAGTCTGCTGACTTCTCTTGACATGCCCTGCTTTACAGCAGTGGGTGACTAGGCTGTTACATTCAGGATACTCCCTCGCTTGAAAGAGAGAGTAACTAATACTGTAAGACTTACCATAGATTTGTCTTACAAGCCTAGCAAATATATACCAATTTCCTCTTTAAAACAAAAAAAGCGTACACCAAGACCACTTATTTCCTTTCCCGTCCCTTTTATATAGCTGTAATGCTGTTTACTGCAAGCACTTTTGAAACGCTAAGTGTGAGTGAGTTAGAAATGTACAAACAGGCGCTCAGAAGTTTTTTGGCTTTTTGCTGTTTCTTCTGCTACATCTTTTTATCAGATGCTTTTACATCTGCATGAAACACAGTTCATCCTCTTGTATAAATTGACTGAACACCACACATGAACAAAATTTGAACGTTTATTGATTTAAACAGATGACCTGAATACACTCTCAGTAGCATAAGTCCAGTTGAATATCAAGTCATACCAATAGAGTAAGTTAGAGACTATGTAGAAGTCAATACAAAACCCTGTGTAAGACTCCTTGTTTTCTCTGCTAGTGTTTAATTATTGGAGGTGGCCCATGTGGCTTGCGGACTGCCATAGAACTTGCCTTCCTGGGAGCCAAAGTCGTCGTCGTGGAGAAGCGGGACACTTTTTCAAGAAACAATGTGTTGCATCTCTGGCCGTTTACAATCCACGACCTCCGGGGACTGGGAGCAAAGAAATTTTATGGAAAATTCTGTGCAGGATCTATTGATCACATCAGTAAGTATCTGAGGGCATGGGCACTGTTCAGATAAAAGGTGTACCGAGATCAGAAGATTAATAGAGACTTTCTTGATTTGGCAGAAAGCTCATCCGCCTTAAACATGCGCAAGTGCGTGCGTGCACACAGAGGGGGGAAAAAACCAGTCTCATTTAAGGAAAATGGCAATTGAACAAAGGACAGTGTTATGGAGCAGCTTTTTTGTTAGTCTGGATTTGTTAAACAATAGGTTTTTATTATGGAGTATGAAGAATATTGATATTCTTTCTAGTTTGTTGAAGGTAGACACAACCCTTAATCTAATGAAAAAATATGCAAAAGTGGGCTATTTTAGAGGGAAATATGCTGTAAAATTGTCTATCTTAAAATGGTCAACATATCGGTTAGCAGATCCTTTAAATATCATTAAGAAGGAAAGCTCTACAGTATTGCAAGAAACTCACTGAAATGAGTTTTATTACCTACGAGATTGTGCTGGAAGATAACAACATCCTGTGGTGGTTGCAGCATTTGCATTCGTCACTATGGGAAATAATGATGCTGCATGCTTGTGTTAACAATGAGTATCAGTTGGGTGGCATGCTGGTAGCAGCTGTGATTACTTACATACTAAATACATCTTTGTTACTTGCTGTCTACAGGTATTCGACAACTTCAACTTATCCTCTTCAAAGTTGCACTTATACTAGGAGTGGAAATCCATGTGAATCTAGAATTTGTGAAAGTCCTGGAACCTCCTGAAGATCAAGAAAACCAAAGTATTGTTTATCATAATGTAGTTCTGTTCACAGTAACTTCTTTTTATGTCAGGCATTATGGGAAATCATTCAAAGTAGTTGAATTCCGTTAAAGAAATTGGAGTTTTTTGCCCTTATTCAGCTAGGTTTGCTATATGCAGCCGTAGGCATGATAAGTATCATTGTGACAGAGCTCTGATAGTTCTTAAAATACGACCCAGTCTGAGAGGTTGAGGTTTTGCACTATGCCTTCTGGCATGTGTTTGAGGCTTTGTAGGGAGTCTGGTGTGGCTTTTTGGTATCTTCTTGCAAAAACAGTTTTTGATTGATAATATAAATATTGAGGATGGATTAAGCTCCCTGAGCCTCATTTTGCTTTCACATTTGCTTTCACATTTCACATTCGCTCCCGCTGGCACACAGAGTCTTATCAGCCAGCTTATGCAAGATTTTTAAATACAATAGAGAAAGACTTCTCGTTCTTTTTTTCTTTTTTTTTTTTTTTTTTTTTTTTAAGATTAGTATTTAGGGTGTAGTAGCAATAGAATATTTTAAAATCTTACTTTAATTAAAATACTATACTATCTCTCTTTAAATGGTCATATAGTGACAGTGGAATAAATATATTGTTTTAAGTAGTTAAAGCATATATGATTTTAAAATATGGACAATACAGACATTTTCACATAATCAGCTTTGTGTTAATGCAAAGATTCAATTTAGCTTTGTGAGTATGCTTCCATTTAATTTCTATTTAGAAGACAAAAGTGTTGACGATGGAATGCTATGTTTCTTCTTTTAAAACCCACCACTTCCTTGCTGTTACCACATATATGTACTGTCCTGATAAGGTCATTGTGGGGCTACTTCTGTGAGAATGAAGTGCTTAAGCATATTCTTGTGATGTGGGTCTGAGAGGAAGTTTAAAGCATTAGGTGATCCAGATGAAGGCTTCCATTTTTTTTTTGTTGTCGGTTTATGAGCTTGATACCGTGCTAATACAGCCTGAACATAGCTTTGACTGCAGCAGAACTTCCCTGCATCAGACTGAGGCAGAATTCAGCTCTGTTTGAATGAGAAATGGACCATTTATCTTAATGCCCTTTCTTCAGACTCTGAAAGCACTTCTCCATTGTATTACTGAAGAATGAATAGATCTTATTCTTTGTGTTTTTAGAGATAGGTTGGAGGGCTGAATTTCTCCCCCTGGATCACCCTTTGTCAGAGTATGAATTTGATGTTATTATTGGTGCAGATGGCCGCAGGAACACATTAGAAGGTAGGTGAATTTTAGTCTTATTAATGGTCTTTAGGGTATTTTGGAAGGCCTGAAAGTCGGAGGAGAACACAAAGCAACAGGCTACCTTTCAATCCACTGTAGTTTCTGTGTGGAAACTATTTTTTATGTGACATGTTCTGCTTTTATTGTTAAGTTGTAGCTCAAAATGAAGACATTTAATGTCATTACTCATTCTCAGCACTGTGTATCTGCATTGCCTCTAAAATGCATCATGATGCCATTGGGCTTGCTTTAAGGTTAAGTAATTATATGATGATTTAACTTTAAGGAGGCTGATGAGATACATATCAGGAATTGCATAGCCTTTGCTATTGTGCCGTAAATTTGTACTATGTGTTTGAACCAAAATGTGACTGCCAGGTATTTAATGAAGGCATCAGAGGTACTGCTATTTTAGAGAGGTGATTTAATTTCAGAAGCAGTTACTTTGGAAACGATACCAAAAGATAATAAATAACTTGGGGGGGGTTTGGGGGAGGGGGCAGGAAGAGGGGGGAAATGCTTGATGAACTTGAGCCATTGCTGAGAATTCAGACCACCTGAGCTGTCTTTGTTAGTGAGGCACTATCTAAGCAGCTCCCATATTGCATGAACAAACCTGTTACTTAATTTTATGTTCCCCTTGTAGCTTCAATTATATCCATGTTAGTTTCAGTTCACCAAGTACAGCATTTCCTTTTTTTTATTAGCTTCGTAGTTTGTCTGCTTATTCTTATATCTGCCAACCACAATAGCCTTATAATGTTCTATTAGAAAATTCCCCACACTATTGTCTAGCTATCACCCACAAAAGACTGTTTAAGTAGTCAGGTATCAACAAAACAAAATTGTTCTTACTGCAGCTGCAGACTCTATTGAGAAGTTAATGGTTATCGTTGTACTGGGATCTAAGGGAATATTTGGTGCACTGAAGATTGTTTACATATAGAAGCTGGTATTGTCATATTAAATTTATCCTAATGAAAGAACGAGGGTGCATCAAAAAGCACAGAGGCAAAAATTCATAGCTGATTTATTTCTTCTTAGAAAAATACATGTATTCTCTGAAAAGTCATCTTCAGTTAGCTTAAAATATTCTAAGGACCCTCTGTCCTACTTCAGAATTTATTTACAGATAAGGGGAATATGCAGAGGGGAAAACTTAAATGTGTGATTGCAAGAGTGTGGCTTAGCAGGCTTTTTTTGTGAAAAGAGGAAGCTAGGATGGAGCGAGAGAGCAAGTAACTTCGCAGTCAGTCTCACCTTGGAAATATAACAGTTAAGCCACTGAATATTTTTCAACCCCAAATACCTTTGAAAAACCTCATTAGCTGGTAGTGTGTGCACCTAAGCACTGTTACAGAGGTTTCTATTTTTCAGATCTTTCTCTGCTGCTTTTGACTGCTGATCTCTTGCATGTTTTTTCATAAACTGTTTACCACCTATATAACAAAAATCTTATTTGCTATTTAGCATGTTAAAAATGTTTCCCTCCATTAAATTTGATCTGCTCTATTTCCAGTCTGTTTTTCTTTAGTCATTATTTGTCCTTAACTTCCTCCCATGTTCAGCTTCTTCCCATAGTTCCCCTCCAGACCTATTTTTTTTCTTTTATGAGACTTTATCTTGAATGCAGTACAGCTCTCGTTTTGCAGCTGGAAGGGGGGAGAAAAGACTCTTTGCGTTCATGGGAGTTTTGGAGGAATGACGACATCTGCTGATGGTGTGTTGTTTGATGACCTGTAGGACGAGACGTAGGAAAGAGACTGAGCTGCCTTGAGCTGACCCTCCCTGAAAGTCCAATGTGAAGTTTCTGGTGTTTTTAATTCTTTTGTTTGCTTACCAGGTTTCAGGAGGAAGGAGTTTCGTGGAAAGCTGGCTATAGCTATCACTGCCAATTTTATAAACAGAAATACAACTGCAGAAGCCAAGGTAGAAGAAATTAGTGGTGTTGCTTTCATCTTCAATCAGAAGTTCTTCCAGGACCTGAAAGAGGAAACGGGTGGGTGCATCCTCATTTTTTCCACAACCAAATACAAGAGGCAGTAGAGGAACTCTTTATGTGCCAGGCCACCCTCCTATTCCTATTAACATCAATTTAAATATATTGTATAAAGAAACCCAAGTGATAGAATGCTGTTGATGTCAGAATCTTGCAGATGGAGGTGTCCATTTATGGTACAGTGGGGTTTTTTTGTTTTTTTTTTTTTTTTAGCTTGGGTGTTGCGACATCATAGCTTGTTTTAATGTTTAAATTTTTCTCAACTGTAAAAATGTCTGCTATGTTGAACAAATTTAGAAGAGCATTTTCAGTGCCCAGAGATTTCCCTGAAGACATGGTTTGTTTTGTTTGTATCCGTTCACATACTGAACAGCTTAAACCCTGTGAAAAAGGCTCTGCCCTTCTGGGAGGAGTTTATTCTTGCTTTTTGATGTGTAGATCTGATAAACTGAAAAGAACTAGACAGGAATCTGCCATAAATACTTAAAATATAAACTGTGAAATACATCTGTATGAAAAGGGGTTTCAGAATAGTTGCATCCACTGTCAGT